TTTTTTATTTATTGCCCGACTGATATTGAGCTTTTAAATGAAATATAAATTAATTGTTATTCTACATACAGTGTTCTGAAAGATTCTATGGAAAATTATTAGCAATAAAATGTTTGTACAAAATTCTATAAATATGAACAACAATTGCTTGTTGCTATTTTTATTCAAATCGAGGTCTAGAAAATGTATTACTATTATTATTATTATTATTTTTTTGTTTTTTATTTTTTTTTTTTTGCTTTATACATTATTATGCAATTGATTTTAATCAACAGCAACTAATCATTGCTTTTTATAAGGCAATCTAACCTAACTTAAAGACGACAAACTTGAAATTAATAAACAACATAATAATAAGAATAAATAAAAAAAAAAAAAAAAAAAAAAACTAATTAAAATATATGTAATAAAATTGAAAAAGTTCTAGACGAAATAGGAAATTGATTTTGTTGTGCTGCGAACGAGTATGGAAATAATTTGGAGGCTGAGAATATTAAGAATGCACGGTATTAAAGTATTAGAGAGGTATGTTAATCTTGTTTTTTTTTTTTTTTTTTACATAGGTAGAGTCATATTTTTTGAAATCAATAAGAGCGCATGTATTTACACAGCAAACATTGAAAATTAAAAAGGGATGTATGCTGCTTCTGCTCCTCTAATTATGGATGAGGTCATGATCGTCAAAGATACATTGGAAGAAAAGTTAAAGAGAAAATTACATAAGGAAATCTACAATTTTATTTAACTCCATCTTTATATTCAACAAATGTTGAGAAAATCAAAATCCAAACAATTTCGAGAATTCGCCTTGATCATACAATTGCAACTCACTAATGGATCTTGAAGCAGTCTTCCTCCCCAATCTGCAATTGTGGACCAATTATCACTATAAAGCGCATTCTCTGTGACTGCCTTAACCTTGCCTTGGCTAGTAGTATTGCATTTGGAAAGATTAACCCTATGGGCATTCTACAATTAGCTACAGAACAGAATATCAATACAATATATTACTTTATCAAAACTGCTAGGCTCAATATCTAATGCACTTTTATAAATTAGAGCCGATAGCCTGTGTTGCTAGTGCCCAATGTCTTTTCTTTAATCTAAGAATTTATTTCATTAGTCTAAAATTATAATAATGATAAAAAGTATTTTAAATGGATTTGTTTGTGTTTAAAGTCAATCAAATGGATTTATTTATGTCTAAGAAAATAATATGAAAAGCAATTCTGAAACCCATTTGGACCTATGGCACACAACTTTAGCACAATGAAATTCTTCAGCACTACCAATCTAAAACGCTGCGATGAATCATTATTGTTATGTATTGAGTTTAATATAGCATTAAATCATTATAAAGGTTAAAATAACCTCTACACGCATATAAAAATATGTAAAAGAAATTGTAAAGGTTTGTTCCCCGGGCAGACTGCGATTAGATGTAGATTCAGCTCATTATTTAGATAGAATTAGTTTATGAAAAGTAGCAAGGGTTCAGTTCGATCGATTTCTAGCATGATATGTCACGTAATTATTAATATAACGCGTCGAGATACATGTAAAGTCTTCAGAAATACGTTGTTCGATGAATTTCAAAGCCAGCATTTTCGTTGAAATGAAAAGCACTCCCGCTTACAGTGGAAAGAAATTATTGTCATGATGCAATTAGGTGTAAGACGCCCAACTAATTGGCCAACTTTTTGACATTTTCTGTATGACTGTTAAAACAACAGACAGAATTCATAAGCAAAAGAACCGATAGATACCATATGTCAAGTTTGCAAAGTTTCCCAAGAGGATTTCAGCGGACAGATAGACAAAAAGATAATTCTATTTGACACCCAACGTCTCAATGAATTCATCTTACGTATTAGAGCACACTCAGGTTGAGTAAAGTTCGATATCAGATACTCTGGTGCATTAGTATATAGAGTGTTCGTGCAGTCTAGAAAGTTGAAAATTACTTGATCCGTTTCTCTCTGTGTCATGTTTGCTTGAACGATGATCTAAGATCATCGATGTTTGTCCGACTTTTTCCTTTACCAATCGTTCAAATATTATTGCACTGAACCATATAGGAATAGTTAGTAGATTAGTGTTCAATACTTACTTACTGATCGTAAATATGTAGTATTTCTCGTAATTGATTGATGAGTTAGCTGGAAACGATCAGGTAATTATTATAAATATTTGAAATAACTGATTAATTTTAGAGACATCATAACATTTCATAGTCTATGAAATTTATATATAGATCTTAATTGATTTTTTCAAAATCTACTTAAAGTATTCATTTAACTGTTAGTTAAGTGACGAATCATTTGGAAATTGCTTTATGTGATACGTGAATTAATTGATTAAAGATTAAATTCTTTAATTTATCTATTAGTTCTATAGCAAGTTAATTAATGAAATTAATTGATTTATAATATAATAAATAAATGAAATTTATTAAATGAATTATTTTTTAAATAAAACGCTTATTAAACTTTTTCTTCTTTTATTATTATTTATTATTTGAGTTTTATTCAAGAAACTTAAAAAACTCGAATAATTTGTAAACTTTTAAAATCTAAGTACCTGGGCGCCCCATACACGTTGAACCTTATCAGCACATTTTCTATCATGATAATACGAGCTCTTGCATTTCTCTCTTACCGATTGAGTATTTGAATAACAGGAAAAAATAATCAAATTAACGGCTCGTCCGCTGTTGAGCCTTGATTTGTTCCACTGACTTCTTTTTATTCCCGCATGACAAGCATAAATTGCGTAAACAGCGATTTTCGTCGGCAGAAGACGATGACCTTGACATGCTTAAAATCCCTGTTTTGGATGTGTCACAAGCCGAAGGAGAAAAATGCTACTGCAAATGCCTTGAACCTATGCGAAAGTATTTATGTGTTGTAAAGATAAACACTTTGATCCATAATAACACTACAATGGACTACACTGCCTTACGGTTGTACATGTGGACAGAAAAATAAGTGCGAGGCCTCTCCTAGAAGTTGTAAAAGGCACACGACGTGGCAAATTTCCGAATTCCCGAATCTGGGATCATTAGCTAATAAAACGTAGGAGACTTTAGTGTTGCTTTAGTAGATTTTTCAGCTGAGCAGTAAAATAGATGCGTCCTCTTCAAAGTTGCGGAAAGTTAAGTGTTTGCAAAATAAGTCGATCATATCGTTGCAGCCAAGAAGGAGGATGGCTAGGTCATCCTCTTCGAAATCAGAGAGGGAAGTACAAATTTATTACCCAATAACTAGGACTATCACATAACTTTGTCACAAGTGTTTAATTTCAAAATAAGGTATTGTGTGGTTGTATCGTGGATTCGACCTATTTCAATAGCATTCGTCCTTGGGTCAAAACACGTCAACGTATCAAATGTAAACAAAGTATTACGAAAATTGCGGTCTAAAGGTAAAACACAAGAAAATAAGACGGACGAATGGGCTGACAAAATTAGATTCAGTGAAGTGATTTTGAATATAATAATAATTGTAATAAAACACTGATATACCTGCAGGCCTCCTGAGTGTTACGCACATCCTAACATGTTAAATATTTTCTAGTGTTGTAGGCTATAATTAGCGGTCGCTAAAGTATTCCTAGCTACTTTACTACTAATAGCTACTTTAGAGACCATGATTATTGTTCGCCATCGGAAATATTAGAAATCACTTGTATAGTTTATTGTTTCCAACATTTGGATTATTGCATTGCTCAGAACACGATTCTTATATCCAAAATAAAGTGAATGTCAAATTGATTCGATAGGTAAGAGAGTGGACTCTCATTAACTTTGTATTCATATGAACTTCTTACATATCATATAGAATACTATAGTTTCGCATTTTCGAAGAAGATAACAACCGTTGAGATGAGTTGGAGGATAGTGGGATTATGGAAGTGGATCTTCTTAATCCTTGGTTCGCTTTGTATAATGTTTGAGTTTAGTTTGATGTCGATGGTACTGGCGTAAAAGGCATTTCTTTACATCAAATTGGTTTACGCGGTATATCTTAGGATCGCTCAAATTGAGTCGCTTCGATCCCATGTGTTCGGGAAGCATCATCCAGAATTGACCCAAACTTATTCTGTTTCATCACATTTGTTCTTTGTAATTGATTGCGATGTGACGTTTGACGTTTGTCCGCCATCTAATTGAACCGGACAGGGTAACTGATGGAGACATCTAATCATGGTATTAGTTTTCCGAGTTCTTGGTTTAATTGCTTTAATTGCTTTTAAAGCATAGTAAAAGAGCGTTTAGTTTAATGCTTAATTTATGATCTAGATAATCGTTGCCTGGAGTTATTCTATAAAGGACAAAGCACGATCATAAATTTGAAAATATCGCAGATGGCATTGAAGAGTTTTTTCCCCAAAGAGATAAATAACTGCTAGTTACAGTTCGTAGAGGAGTGATGAGGAAGTTAAGCGGGATTTGTGATTGTCTTAAAATTATTGAATTTCCATATGCGACAATTTTTTTGCATAAAAATAAGAGCGTTATGCTTAAGTCTGCTTGTGCGCGTATTCAGCATGCATAGCACTCTCTAAAGCTTGTCTCCAGACCTCGTCAAAAAGGTCATAAAAATAAAATTTAGTTATTAGCTAAAGTGCTGGAACAAAAGGGATTACATTGAACATGAGGAATATTTATGAATATACTTAAATGAATGTATGTAAACTTTGAAAAGAAATTGAAATTTTACATAGAATTCCTTCTAATCTTACATTAAGGGCAGCTCTACTTAGGTAGCAAGCGGATTGTGACCTTATTAAGCGGTAATTAAATTCAAAAAAAAAAAAAAAAAAACGAAATATTTTGTAGTAATTCTTTCAAAATTCATCTTTCCGAATACATACATACGTATATATGAATAAATGTTTAGATGGCTGTGTATATATTATAGTTGAGTTCGAAAAATTGAAAATATTAATAAAATCAATGATGTATGCATATGTGTAAATGTTTTTGTCTTATGTTGTAGCGAGTTAAGTCAGCTGCTGCTGCTGATGCTGATGCTGATGTTGAAGCTGAAGCTGATGCTGCTGCTGCTAGTGCTGCTGCTGCTGCTGTTGGTGGTGGTTGTCAAAATGCCTCTAGCAATGTTAGGCAAATGAGCTTAACAGTCGCCCAGCCGGTCGGTCATCCAGCTAGCTACGACTACAATAACACCAACAACAGCAACAACAACAACAACAACAACAAAAAGATCAACAAAGAGAAGCAATAGTAACAACAAATACAACAACAACAACAACAATAACAGATAAAATACATGAACATGAAGCTGAACAAGCGAAACAAACAATTTTTTGTAGTCAGTCGTAATCAACAACGTGTGAGACGCGCTCGAAAAAATTTTCAAACCCACTTCAATACGTTTTAAAACTGCAAATATATATATATATGTATATATATATATACATATGTATAAAAAAAAAAAATATCTTTCCACAAATTTGAATGCCTGGTAAATGGAACTCAGGGGAAACAGCGTAATATAAGAAATTCGCTGTTGCTGTTGTTGTCTTTTCTTTTTTTTTTTCGTATTTTGAAAATTTAATTTTCAATGAAAAAAAGTAGTTTCTTTTCTTAGGTTAAATAAAAATCACAAAAAATCGTGTTAAATAAATGGTAAACAAGTGCATCGTGTAAAAGTAAAATTCATGAAAAACATGAACGCGTTTAAATAGAAATTATTTACAAGAAAAATTATGTTCAACAACAGGTGTGCAAATAAAAAATGGAAATTTTACTTAGTAATAATAAAAAAAATATTTATTTCCTCAAGGAATTTTTTTTTGCTTTTTTTTTTTTGTTTTTGCCCACAAAGCTATGAACCGAACATTAAAAACGGAGAAAAAAGTGGTTTCACTACAACAAATAGTCAAAAGAAAAAAAAAAAAACGAAAATGAATATTTATTAAATACCAAAACCAGAATTAATTTAATATATGATTTAATTTATTAAAAGAAAAAACAAAAAAAAAAAAAAATTGAAAAGACGGCAAAACTGAACGAAAATATCTTGAAATTGTAGAGCATGCGTGTATACACACATTACCAATTTGTTAAGCCTATGAGTTTTTGCTTTTGTTTTTTGTGTTTTTGTAGTTTTCTGGTTCAAAAGAATGAAAGAAAATCGTTAGAGTTAAGTGTTGATTGGCTTCTTTACTCGACTTTACTTGTTCTAGTTTAACGTACGCGTTCGCCTTAGATATCGCGTTATGAACTTGACAAACATAGGCATACATATATATACATATATATATGTTAGCTCACGCGCGCGCGAGCGCACACAAAATATATACACACCTACACAAAAGCACAGGATATGTTCGTAAGATGACGGAAATTATTAGCTGGGCATACGAGCAATAAAGGCAGGAAACAGAAGTTCAAAGTTCAGAGAGAGAGAGAGAGAGAGAGAGAGAGAGAGAGAGTGAAGTAGTAAAGACAAAAGAAGGGCGGCGCACGAGGGGGGGGGGGGCTTGAGGGACAAAACACTAAAATCCTGTTAGTCCTTTTATCGTACGGTTGCAATATACGGTATCATTATTTTGAGTTAATAAAATTTTTTTTTTGTCTTAATTTTTCCCTCATGATTTATTAGAAAACATTCCTAAGAACGAGTTCTTGCTTAATACTCGCTTTACAATTTTATTAAGAGACGGATCGTAAGTGATGGGAGAGAAAGAAGTAGCAAATCTAAATACATGCGAAATATTCTAAATGAGAATGTGTGTAGTGCAAGAGACGACAATATGTTTGTACATAAAAGCAAGTGCAAACTGCATATATAAATCAACACCAGCAACTGCAACAACAATAACAACAACAACAAGAATAGATAGAAATAGCAGTAACAAGTGTAAAATTTTTAATTACACTTCTGCTAAGCTATCGTTCAAGGTATGTGTGCGTGAAATAAGAGAGTGAGAGAGAGAGAGAGAGAGAGGGAGGGCGAGAGACCAAAAGATAAGAAGATAGAAATAGTAATAAAAAAAATCATAATTATAACCCAGCAAGAAGTACATCAGCGTCGTTGATATATTTTTGAAAAATTATTTTAAACAATGTTGCTCGATATTTCTAGAGCACTGACCATTACTACCATAATGAATTAAAGTAGAATTTAAATAACAAGTTTATTTCTGCATAATCAATTTTCGAGCTTGAGTAGCATGAGTATATTTCAGTAATCACTAATTAACAAGAAGAAGTTATAAGGAAAGCGCGTGAAGACGAGACTTCTTTAAATCCCAAATAAAATTTGTTGGCGATAAGACACAATGAAAATAAAGCGGTTGTAAAAATAAATAAAACTCGATTCATGCACAAGAAATATTTTTGTATTTAATTAAAATAATGTAGATTACATAACAAAACGAACCGGTTAACCGGTTAACCGGTTTCGAAAATCCTCACACACATTAAAGTAATATTCGATTTATGTTAGTCGCATAATGTTCTTTTTCACACCAACAAAGATCTTAAAAATAAATCGGATAAAATTGGATTGGAAATGTTGATGGCTTCTTAGGAATCGATTAAAGATTAATTTTGAAGAATCGACTTGTAGTAGAAACACTAACTCTAAAATGTAAACATAGAGTTGAAGGTACGATAACTAAATCTAATTTTATATAATATACGGGACAAGATGTATTTTCTTCTTTTTCATTTTTGGTTGGATGGCCAATCACTCAGGGTATATCCCCATATAACGCAACGATGGCCAGAAAGCAAGGAGAAAAGAGAAAGAGATAAGGAATGGTCAATGGTTAGTGTGTGTATGCCGAAGCCGTAAGCGTCATATTTTTATCGACGAAGCAGTCGCAATCGTTATGACTATTGCGCCATTTTTTTGGTGAAATCACCGTGACACCATTGCTACAGAATTGGGAGATTGGGGGATTGGGGGATTGGGGGATTGTGGTTTTTCAATTTCAATTTTTTTTCTTCACTCAGCTACAAAAAATCTAATAGGTTTATCCGGGTGAGTGGGCGAGTAGGCAAAGGGTCTCAAGTTCGGTAGGATTTTCAGTAAAGCCGATAGCCTTAGACTTTAGTCTGCAACTTTATTTCTCTGACTAAACTGACAGTAGTAATAATAATAATAATTTAATAACTTTAAACTTGACATTATTTCGTAAGACTAAATGACGAGAAGGTAGTTAGCATAAAATTTATATTTAAATGAACTAACACACAGATTGCGCAATGAAAGGGAAAACAAAAGACATGTTCGTGTACGCCATGGAATGCTATCATAGTCGATTTGTATCAATATGTCACGAAGCTGACATGTCGAACATGCCAAAGTTTGGTAAATCATTGCAAAAGGCACCTTTACCTTGTTCATGGAATTACGCTGGTTCACTAACTAATTGTTATTGTTTTGTCATGGGCAATGACCAAGTCCTACAAATAGTCGCTTTAATGGTATGTTTTGAGTCCTTCAGAGAGATTAGATTATAAACTTCGTTCAAATTTTTATAAACAACGCCAACTTGATTAAACAATTCACAATTAGATCTGGATTAGCTAAGTACTGTAAAAGGATAAAGTTAGCGGCCGACTTTACCGATCGACTTTACTAAAAAAATAGATGCCTAAAAAACAACTGCCTCTCTCTAATAAGAAAGGTAATGTAATAATAATTAATTCATATAACGGTTCCACGACGAAGCGAGAAATATTTTTCGATTTATTCTATATTACAATGATTGAACAAAAGTCACACAACGGAAACACAGTGAAGTGTTGGGCTCATCAAAGTCTTATTATACGGTTTCTGTACAAGATCACAAACCACTCTTTCGGCTAAAATCAAGGACAGATCTTGCTTTATTTATCGATGGCTCCAGGTGTAGATTTATCTAATCACGAACCTGAAAGCAAACTCTTGTGAATGATCGCTTGCTAGAGAATGATAGTTTTTACGTGCTCTTTACCAGAAAGTGAGTAGAAATTATTGTTTAAAGTCGTTGATTGAAGGGCACTGTAATAGAGTTCCGAATTGACAAAGGTGAACCATTCTACATAGGGTGTCTGTGATAGGATATAACATGCCTTGATCATACATGGGGGATCATTAATATATAATACATATAGAATCGGTCCTAAGAGGCTGCCATGACGAGCACCGGACATAATAAGAACTCGCAAGTTGATAAGAGTTGAAGCGAAGTGTAACATATCTGTTCTGGAGATATGAACCAATCCATTTACCTGATTATTGCGATATGTCAGACGAGTACCATTTATAGGTTAATAACCTATACTTGATCTCGCTGAAAGTCTTACTAAAATCAGCGCAAATGTCATCCATCTGAGAGCCACAGGGGAAAGTCTTAAGCAATCAACAACAAGTGGAATGGTAAATAGAGATGCGGAGTCAAGGTTTGATGAGAGAGGAAAGATCGCTATACCATGATATAATTTCTATTCTCCTGGGTTTACAAAATGTATCCCATTTTTCTACAGTCAATTTTTATGCAAATTGCTAGTATTGACGGATTTGTGAAAAATTAAGCCTTCCTACGAGACGGATTACTATTTATAAGAACTCTTATATAGAAAGGGGTGCAAAAATTAGACAAATACGATTCAAATCTGGTCCTGTTAATTTTTATGTCAAATTATTATTCTGGATAAATTTTTATTGCACCATATAAGGGCTTTTTCTATGAGAAAAAGGATGGTGGTATCCAAAATATCGACCTATATAGTCTGATGATGAAATTAGACGTATTCAGTGTACGTGCGAAACATGGGTAAACAAATTAATCTATTTGAAAATAGCAACTCAGGGAAGAAAAAAGTTCTTGTTAGATGCAGGAGACAATTGAATGTCAATGTGCTTTGCACGTAAAGAGTATTGCCGTACATACGCTTTTGCCGCCGGACACCGATTATGTTGAATGCAATCGAATGCTGCGCACATGTGCAGAAGTTATTGCCAATGTAACTGACCGGGGTCTTTGAACACCTAAGTACGCCTAAGTACGCCTTTCTTGGCTCGGAGCACCATACTTTGTTATGCGTCATGAAGCTTTTGCCAAACACTTGGTGTCTTACTCTGCCAATGGTTTCGTATTCACATAGAATATGATGGGGCATTTTAGTCGTCCCTTCGTTTCGCTTTGTGGTACGCTATAGAAACAGAAAGGTTCCGGACCTGTCGTGACCCCGCAGGCTCACTTCGTTAAAAAGTCAGCTCTTTTCCTGCCTTCTATACCCGAATGGACTGTCTTAGGTACTCGTCATCTTGCTCGTCAAGACGATAGAAACACTTCTTTACCAAATTTCATTCTAGTCAGGTCGATGATTTTAACTTTAATGACCAATCATACCATAATGTGACCCCCAATTACTTGCGGAAGTTAAAGTTCTGTTCACAGTTTACATTCCATTTATACCTTCATACAACAATATGTATGCAAACAAATTTGAAACGTGACTCATAGGCACATCATGGTCCGATTAGGGTTAAAAAATTTTACACGCGGCTATAAATAGTCACGATTAATAATTTTTATGCTGCATTCTCTCGCAGTATGTACAAAGTAAATGTCTTCTTATATAAAAATATGGATGATATTCCGGGTCGATTAATATCATATCACTCACAACTCGTTTATTCGTCCATTAGTCGTTTGTTCTTGAAACTCTCTATCAAAAAAAAAATGTGATAGATAATTGACTCATATACGCGCTCACACACACACATCTTCGGATGAAGTTCGAAGAATACATTGAAATGAAAGTTGCGAGCGTAGTAAATATCTGTAAGAAAAATTCACAAGCCCACCATGAACCAACCATAAGCCGTACTAATAATAATAATAATAATAGATATTCAAGATACGTTCCTAAGCTTTCAAGTTTCTGCTTGTAGTGCTACAGTGAATCAGAAAAAACGCAGATTTTAGTTTTTGTTTTGCCCAAAAAAAAAAAATTTATAAAAAATTCTATTGTGTAAAAAAATAATTAGGTATGTTTGTATGTGTCTTGATATAGTCACATATTTATGCTTATTCATTTATTTAACTATATTTATTAAACAGTATAATAAATATTGAGCTTCATATATATTATATAAAAGTATCGGTGTTTTTATATAGCAACGAGTAGAATAAATGCAGGGAATTGATTATTTCCAAAGCTCGATATTCTTTAGATTATATAAAATAAATGAAAATTTACATATATATATTAAATTTAGAATGAAATTTACCTAATCAGGGTTACGTTGACTGCATTGTTGTGGCTTATTGTGAGTTTGCCCAATATGTACATAAGTACCGATGTACATATGTTATTAAATTAATGTATCTACGATTGTGTCTGCATTTCGTATAATTTTATTAGTCACAGTTAATAAATTAATATAAGCTTGATCGTTTTGATAGTTAATAAATAGAGGAGGAATTGAAACCAGTTAAGAGAGAGAGAGAGAGAGAGAGAAGCACAAACAAATGCTTTAGTAATAATGTAAGACAAACATACATACAAACTAAGCATAATACAAGTTATGCAGTTTACAAATCATACATACATTCGTGTGCATATAAAAGCATGAGTGCAATAGTTTTTTATTTGTTGCAGCCGATTATGGTTAAACGACAAGTTAACTTTTGCTTAATATGTTTGTAAAATGTTTTCTTTAGTGGTAATAAAGACTTGTTGTTCCTAAAAATAGAGATAAAAATGACAATACAGTGGAACCTTGATTTACGAATTTATTTCTATCGTCTTTTCAATACGCGACCTGAGACTCACTTCCCGATTGAAGGGAACGTAAACCGTTGTTAAAACTGCGAAGAGATGAACGCTAAAGGAATTCCATTTCTTTTCCATAAAGGTATTGAGGTGCCGTGGCAGCAAATCTTTAAAACTTTTTCCTTACGTCACATCTTCAGCTTAGTAGCTTGTTTTTTTCTTGCATTCCGAGGCTGTTCTCTATCTGTCACGGTGTGATAGTGTGACAGTCAGAAAGACTCGTGAAGAGAGAAAAAGATAGGGCGTGGTTGTAGCTTAGCCTAATGTGTGTGTGCTCTATCGGCAAGTGTTATGTTTTTATCGACTACGCTTTCGCTAGATCCGTACTAAGATTTGGACTTGCGGACACTGACTTGCAGAAGCCGTGACTACTCCCGTCTACTTGACTATGCGGCGGCCGAGCTGCTATTTTATTTCCTTTCAGCCTCTTTTCTCAACCCTTATTGCTTTCTATTGCTCTGTTCTTCGTCTTCTTCTTCTTCTTCTGATTAACAACTCACTAAGTTTACCTTTGCTCCTTACACAGCTTAATCTTTTAAACCTTTTTAAATTTAGAACATTGTCAATTTGTGATTCCTTTCAGAGCAACGTTCCCTGCGGATAGATTATTAAAATGGGAGGGTGGAGCGATTACTATTGTAAGTCGTGGAAAGAAATGGAAATCATTCGAACTGAAAACACTTTTCAGTACCGTGACTCATTTGTTGTTTACTTATTAAATTTTAGAAGAAGAAGAATAAGAATTGTGTTGTTGTCATTTTCGTAGTATTAGTTATAGTCAGATCTTTTTTATATTATATTTGCTAGAAAATAGAAACTGACACAATATTCGTTATGTGGAAATTTTTTCTTCATAGACCGCTTTGCGTCGAAACATAATAATTGTTGGCAACAATTCATTGAAGCCTCTACTTCCCTTTAACGTCTGCAAGTGTTTGATAAGCGAGAGCATATTTTCTTTTATTATTTATTTATCTTTTATTGTTTGAAATTTTTAACCTTGTTAAAAAGTTGACTCGATGTGTGATATATAATTGATGATGTGTTAATATATTCGCACTTTCAGTATCATAAATTGTGTTTTTAATTACTTGATAATTCAAATACTATGAGGATGATGATGATGACGATGATGATGATGATGATGATGATGATGATGATGTTGATGATAATGTAAAGTAAATAAATGCGAAAAAGTGTTTTTTTTTTTTTTTATTCCGCTTATAAAACTGAGAAAACAACAATAAAAACAAAGAAAAGAGAACAAAAGATTAAAACCACAACTACTTGTAAGAAATAAGCAAGCATCGCATCGCATATACATATTTATAAGTATATGCATAGTATTGTATATTATGTAGATGAGTAGTGAGTAGACGCCAGCCAGCCTCGGTTACAGAGCCACCCCCGGCCTTGCGAACTCATTATCTTTTTCTTTATTGTTTTTATTGTTTTTTACTCAGTTCACATTGTTGTTATTGCAGTTGAATTGAAACTAAGCCATTTGATCTGGAAATTTTGTAACGCGATTAAAACACCAAAACATTGCTAGTTGAGATATTGTATTGTTTGGCTGTTGTTGTTGCTGTTGCTGCTGCTGCTGTTTCTGTGTTTATAATTAAATAATAAATAAAAAAAAAAGGAAAAAAAAAAAAAAAAAGAAAAAAAACAAGCTACAAATTGGAACAACATAACATAGTGTCAATATCAATGTTTCGCTTAAAAAAATGATTTCTTATGAAATTTATGAAAAATAATTTTTGAAAAGCTTGCCATTAGCATCTAGCAACAGTGCTTGGTGTGTTAACAACACATCTAAGTCGCGATATCGTAAATTTAACATAAAGTTTTTCTATTAAATCGCTTGTTAAGCGTTCGCTGCTCTCTATTATAGGTCGTCTTCGCCTACGTTCTAACTATCGTAATTAATCTTAAAGATATTAAATCGGAGCACGAATTGAATGAATAAAAGTGAATACATAAACTTTGACCTCTCGGGTGCTAAATACATCTCAGATCACCTACACGTATATACAGATATATATATGTATATATATAGAAATCGGTTTTACTGCTGGTTTTCTCTCCCTCTTTTACTAATAAAGTCATTGATATATGCATTGACTTCTGTCGCCATTTCTGTCTTTAATTTACTTTTCTTTATTTGCATTTATTTGCATTTGTGTCTATGTGCGCGTGTGTATATGCTTATTGATCTCGATCACTTACTCAAAGCGTGTTCTAAAGTTTTTCCATTACATTATTGTCGTGAAAATCAAGCGAAATAATTCTCAATACATTTTTTTTTTCCTTCTCATAATTCAGTCATATTAACGAATGTTTGTTTGTTGTTGTGTTTTGTTTTTGTTTTTATTTAATAAAAATTTTAGCATATAATTAGAGCAGAAAACTAGTGAAATCATTTCGCATTTTTAAAAGAATTTCTAAAATCTGCAAAAATTTTATCGCTTCTTTTTCTCTCAAGAGTGAAAAGAAAAAAAAAAAAAGAAAAAAGTGTTCAAAGAAGAAAGAAATAAAAAACAAAATTGTTAAGAATGCTCATTAATGTGTGTTTTTTTTTTTGCATAAATGCGTGAAATAAAAAAGAGAATTTCTTCTTGATATAATAAAAAATTTGTGATAATGGATGCAATTTTTATTACCAGCTACGATTGGAAATTGTTGCAATTGCAGCCAAAAGATTTGTGGATTTTAACGTTTATTTGAATAAGGTAAGTAAAATCATTATTGTAGGTCATGGCCCGCCTTACACCAGCCTACTGGCCTTATTTTCAAAAGTCGGTATATGGCAAGTGGTCGAAGAAGTGTTTCAATCCGTACTATTTTTAGTAGTCCAGTAATCCTTGGATTAAAAGACGTCAGTGTAAGAAATTTCATGAGACGGACTGAAGATTGCACGCAAGAAAACAAGACGTACAGACCGACAGAAAAGCTAAAAGTGATACTGGAAAAGCTTATCATACCATCCGCAAATGGTGTAGGGTATGAAACAAACGCCTTTCTATGCATAGGAAGTTTTCAAGCATTCATAGGTCTCATAGGCGGGCCTTTTTTTTTTTTTTTTTTTTTTTTGATAATTGATTAAACGAATAATACGATTTTTTGAAAATTGATAGTAAATTTTATATTTTGCGTATACAAAGGAAAATGTAAAGAGGAATGAGAAAAAAGTCTAAGAGAAGAGAATGAAATTACCCTATGAAACCGGTTTTTCCATATATGCATCTGCATTTAAATATCGTAAGAGAAGGTTAGAACAAATCTTTAGTTGCTCTCATTACTCTTCTCTACAAATGCATATCGAAAGTAAATTGTGTTACGAGGCTGTGAACGTAACATACTTTACAAGCGTAAGCGTCTAATGACAGCGTTGCTTAAACAAAATTATGTTAGAAATGTGAGAGTTGTTGCTCACGTACGATCACCTCGTTATGATATCTTCTTAATATTACGTATCCACGCGAGGTAACTAACATAACATGACCGAAGAATAGGCATTTCAACGCAATAAGTAAAAAGATTTTTAATCGCACAAATAAAAAGAAAATTGTATAAAATTTTCCTAATTCCGGGCGCCTATTACGTTCAGGAAAATTTTGAATGTATTGAACTGGAAAAAGAAGTGAAGCAGCAGATCATATTTAACATTCTCGACGAAGCTTGCAAGCCGTAATTGAAAACTTCAAAACATTACTAAATGCTGATCGAGTGCAATTCCTTGCGACTACCTTCAGTAGCAGTTAATTTTTGACCTGTCTTGAGAAAACATAACATACATTTGTTTAATTTTCACGGTGCACAGAAAACACGCACGTGAAGGGATCCTACATATTCTGGAAGAGTAACATGCCTACATACGTATTCGTCTGACTTCTGATATAACTGAAGCAAAATACTCATACCTACATTGTTTGTTAAACAAACAACACTGAGGTGAAATGTTGCATAATATTAACGTTTAGATCTCTTTAAATTTGAGCGCAGAATGATTTTGAAAGGAATTTTTATATCGCAGCCATGACAGATTGCTAGGTGAATGGACAGAGGGACAGACGATTAGACAAGCAGGAACCGATTTACGGCTTTCGTTATCGAGTAAGTTTACGTGATGACACCCAACAACGGCATGATCGCTTTTTGGTACAAATATGAAAATTTACATTCAACGTCGAGCAAACTTCATACGTTATACGTAAACCGAACGCGGATTCGAAGACATGTACTGTCTCAAGTAAACCCCTTCAAATGGCTGCTGCCTTTCTTATATTTTACTGGAAGCTCAAAATGAGTATTCACTCATAGCATAGTCAAAGCATAGTTTTAAATCGATTTCTTTTTTTTAAAGCTTGACTTTAAACGAGAACACCTTTTTGACTAATTCAAGCAAGAGGTATGTAAGATCATATTCCAATCCAATGAGTCCTAGGGCATATAATTGTAGGGCGCAGTCAGTGACTCCAATATTGAAATACTTCAATCTAAGACTCTTTGTTCTTTTGTTAATGCCTCGTTGTGCGTTTGCAATAAAACTATTCACGATGAGCTGGATATTCCGTACGCTAAAAATCGAATTTAACCCCTTTCTGCAAAATATCATTTTACACTGAGTAATCACGTAAATCCCTTATAGATGATTCCAATGAGTTAAAAGGATTGCAAAGGCATCACAAGCCGCGTCTTTTATTTGAGAATTTACTTATTTTTGTTTTTAAATTTATTTTAATGAGAGAATCTTCCAAGTTCGCATAGATTCTTTTTATTTAGTTAAATATCATATTGAAATCCCATACGGAAATCCCAAATCTAGTTTAGTCCAACTAATTGATTATCCCAAAAAAATAAATTGCCTAGAGAGGGAAATATCCAAGTGCAAATTCGCGACGCGTTATGCAGCTGTCGGTCGAGGAAAACGACGGATTAAAAATGAAGCCATGAACTTGGGTAATAGTAATATGCTTGTGAAAATGTATATAAATAGACTATTTGCCGAAGGCAGAATCATTCAAACAAGAGCATTTGAGTTGACAAGGAATATTAGAGTTGAAAAGTCAAGAGTATCGAGAGTAATCTACCCTTAAAGAATTTGATTGTTAATAAAGAATCTTGACGGGAAAACGTGCAAGTGTATTTCACGATCTGGCGATGCGAACCGAGAAGAGCGAATTTCATAACCATATCTATTTTCTTATATTGCTCACATTGGGGGATGATAACCTCTGTTCCATTCCTCATTTACGTATAATCTTTTCGGATAGAATTTTTTTCAGTATTCAACAAAGCTTTGATCAAAATTTCATTTCAAATTTTAATTTAAATTGCACTTGTAAGCTTTTCCAGTCTAAATTGTCGATGTTTTCCGAGATTACTTCAGCTTCTTCTGCATGGCGGACGAGTATGTGAACTGATTCGGCCTATTTCTTGATCTCACCGACATTAATCGATCAAGAAATGTTTGTGCCAAGTTTCAACTTTCTACCTTCATTTTTGCGGCTGTGACGATCCACAAAATTTACCCGGGCCTCCCGCTAGTGTACTGTTAATGAACGTGAGCTATCATTTTGCGTCTTTGAACTTCAAGCTGCGGTGAATTATACAAATTTATTACGGTCTAATAAAAGCCGGACCATGAGCACATCGTCAGAGATAGTTTGCTGACCTCATGCCTAATAAATGCTTTTATCCTGGAAGAAATATAGTCTTCGTAAGGCCTGGCTTCGGAAAAGCGAAAATCGTTGCAAATGCGATCGAAAGTAGTTGAAAACTGAAGTCGAAGGCAGTTGAATTAAAAAATATTTATGAAGAATTTTTGTTTTTCACCTGAGCCTTGACATTAAAAAGCAAAGCAATCTCCTTCAAACACATAAAGTAGCCTAAGTGTAAGAACAATTCAAGCTTTCGTGTGTAGATTGTAAGAAAGATTCTTAAGTAAAATTTTTGTGTTGCGTAATGAAGGTTCCCCTAAAACTATAGGAGCGTACGTTTAGACGGGTGTTCAACGAAATCCTTAAAAGGTGAAAGAGTCATTTATTTGAAGTCTCTTCTTTAGAACTCTTTATTATTATTTTTAATCGACCCATTCGTAGGGGATAACCGATGTGCATATCTTGGAAGCAAAAGCTCCCATAATCCCAATGTAGGCAAAGTGCTGGGTCATCTTAATAGCTTAGAAATGGAAATAACTCATCATCCTACTGTTGGACATAACCACATGTATTTTATGTTCGCATTAGCATTTTTTATACAATTTCCGGATAAAATATTTTAATTGATAAATGTAATAACTGCTGTGGGAAAACAAGATCGCCGTAATTATCTCATTAAAGTTTTTTACACCTTGTTTTCAATTTGTTCGATCATGTTATTAAAATAAGTTAACAACTGATCAATACAACAACGACAAAATCATATCACAGAAAGTATTGAATGCAGAATTTCCCAATTGCAGTGGGTTCTGGGACTATTGTTAAATTTTAATAACGTTCAACTTTACCAGATATGTTAATATGAAACCGAAATTCGTTTGTAGATGGCCACGGTTATGTCAATGTAGTTACTGCCTAGCCGTGCCATAGACGCAATTTTCTTGTTGATATCCTACAAAGGTTTTGCAACTTACAACAATATAAGTTTCGTATAGAAGTATAGTTTCTAATAGGTTGGAACCTGTCGAATTTTGTGCCTAAAATACAGCGTTTGCCGGCAGCATTGTTTTCTCCGTTGCTCTGGACAAACATGAATTTACTTTGAGAATTCCAGGCTCATAAATTCAGGGGTAGATCCGGACATACCGTCTTTATCTGTCGCAAGACCGAAGGTCGATGCCAGGAATACGATACCGTGTCTTTGATGGGACCAGGGGGATGTTGTTAAAGTCTTACTCGATTTGGACGGCCCGCTGTCTAAGAAAAGGGACAGAATATTAAAGCAAAAGCAACACAAGGCCACTTTTATACAAATAATGCGTCCGTCCATCCATCCACTTTGGCATAAACCGTTTCGCGTCACGTTGGAAGCCCTCACCTTAGAGAAGGTATCTCTAGGACTTTAGCAATAGTTTCACGAAGGCTTAATCTTATGGTGCTCCATACTACATGGGTTAGGAAAACACATGTTCAACGCCTTGAGGATGATTAGTTCCAGGGCTTCAGATGGATACACGCCTAACCCTATTTCATTCACGATAAGAGCGAGATGCATCTAAAACTTCCGTCTTTCTGCTGATGAGGCACATGATTGCAAAGCAAAGCCGCGCTGGGCAAGCAAACCGGCTGTTGCCGGAATTGGGTTAACCACGTCGTCAGATCGAAGCAAGAAAAACGCTTCAAGGGCTATTGAGGCCAGTCGTACCACGAAATGCAGGAAAAGAAAAACAAAAGAAATGCGAAGAACGCGATGGAGAGACTTATCTGATATTATAAGCTATTATTCATTTTTGTGTTAGAGCGCAAAAGCAATTAACTAATACTCACATGAGGGTGGCGCGTAAAAGCTTTAATCTCTCCGGTTTAAAGGTCACAGAGGGAACATAAATGTTTGCATTATTAGTTTTCCAGCGAAAGAGGCTTTTCTCATGTAGCTACAGCAAGTTTTGGTGCAAACGTGGAAATATACAGGGATTTATTGCAAAATTGCTGTGGAAAAGAAGTTCTAGTCAATTGGTTACCTAATCAATTATGGTAAACGGCAAAGTCAGTGCAGCTTCCATTTGTTGCATTTTCAATAAAAAAAAATATCGGTCTTTTGTTCTAATTATCTATTTTTTTTGTTCTATTAATCCATGCTACAGATTGACAGTTAAATAAATTATTTTATTTTCTGAATTAATAATTAATAAGACTGGTTTCAATTCTATGCGCATGGATGTGTGTAATGATGTATGTATGTAAATGGTAATTGAAATCAAGAATGCATGCATGATACTACGTATGTTAATTGAATTCAATAAAAAGACAATTTCGAAAGCAATTAACTATAATTGAAAATTTAGTTACCTGACAGTGTTAGCAGCGTAATGTATGTATCAGAGAATAATAAATAAATAAATAAATATATAAAATGAGAAAATCAAATCGATATGTTAAGCGATTTATTTTACGTAGATCTTTAGATGTATGACTTTGTCGCGCTTTAGGCGCTTGCTGGAGAAAATCAATTAAAAATTTTATAAACACAATTTTTTCTATCTACGGTTTGTTTTACTAAAAAAGGATCATAAAAATTGACTAAAGCAATTAGTAGAACACCAACGTACATATATATATATATATACGTGCATGCACACATATATATATATATATATATATATATATATATATGCACACACAAATAGTTTATAAAACTATATAAAGAATTTAATTAAATAGCGATGACATTTGTGCGCAATAACTGTGAATTTTCTTAAATACGCGACAACAAATTGTGCGCTAATAATAATAATAATAAAAAGTAAAAAAAAAAATTCTACTTTCAACTGACAATTCTATGGTAATTTAATGTGGCCGCCGGCTATATAAAATTCGTTCGTTGTCTTTCATATGTATTGTCACGTTACTAGTTTTTCGTAATAACTGAAAATTGCCATATAAATCGTAATTTTATTGCTCGGTAATTATTTTATAATTTTTTTTATATATATTTTGCATACCTTTTCTCTCTTAATTTACATGTTTTTGTAATAAAATGCTTTTTTATTATTATTTTTATACATTTATAATTTCTGTTCTTTGTTTTCTCATTTCAGTGCAATAAATTGTTAAAAGTCAAGTGCTGCCAGATTGTTTTGAATAATAAGAGTGATTTATATATACATATATATATGTATATGTATATGTATATAAGAAAAAAAGTTGGCATAAGGAATAAAGAGGAAATATCTTAATGTGCCTTCTTCTTTGCACGCGGAAAAACCTAAGCTTAGGATGTGCGTTGCGATTTGTGCGGTCATGTATCTTTCATTATCGCGTTACTTTACTACTTTAATACAACATTGAGAATAACATTATCATCATATTTGTGTGGCTGTGGTTTACTATGATCCTTTGATTTTCATTAACGACATTAACTACAAAATTGGATATTTTGTGGATTTCGCAACTGCACAAGGGGGGAAACGTAAGTACTACAAATTTTTCTTACCTCATTGTATTACGCATATTTAATCGTTTTAAATTTTTTTTAGCTTTCTTCTTGGGATAAAATTGTATTTTATATATGTTTATTTATTTACTTGGCCGGGCATTCAATGTACAATGTAATCAAACTTTGAAAAAGTTCCATGTTTTAATTGACTTTTAGTGTATCACTTGAGTCTGTCTATTTAAGAGTTGTTCAATGCTTGTTACAACAACACAACACGTGTAGTTAGTTAGTTATATGATTTCTTGCTTACATAATACAATGTATGAAATGAATGAGATTAATATGCGACACATCTTTGTGTTCTATGTTTGTATAAAACAAAGGACATTATACTTTAATTTACAAAGAACTTTCTGGATTTTTCATATCAACCTATGATCAACAGTCCTATAAGCATTAGCTATGGTTAGTATATTTGCACTTACTCTTGATTCTTCTTTATAATCTGAACACAGACACAACTGCTAGTCTCTTGTTCAATGAATATGTCAGCTTTATTTTTTCTATCCTTCTCTTTTCAAAATGGAAGGTTAACTATAATTAATAAGTGCTTGCATGCATTTTGATCAGCGGCATCTATTGATGAGAATGCTAAAATAATGCAAAGTATCAATGTGAACGATGCCTTTGACCTAAAGTAACTGTTTTCCATGTGGTATTAATGTGTGTACAAACGGTAATCATGGGGCACTCAAAATCGCCGTTTCGACATATATACCTTTTACCGTATAGACTACATATATAACTATTCTATTGAGTTTCAAAGAGGTCGTCATAGTAAATCATGTATACTTGAGAGTGCTTAGAGAGTGAATAATTTTTGATCGGCAAATTATTATTTAAACACTACGCGTTTAGGAATTAAATGCAGTGAGTATACCATACACCATGAATGATGCATTGTTGTGTACAACACCTAAGAAAATTTGAAAACTTATTATAACTATAGATTCAGAAAATAATTCTAAGCTTGTCTGTCCTTCTGTCTAACAACCATCCAAGTATTTTTATGCACAACTTACAGCTTACAATATTTCAAATATATCAGAAATTTGGTACACTGACGTTTTTTCGCTCAAGGAAGATCCTTATTAAAAATATATTAAATTGAACCGCTTTTCAACCATTCGCTCTTACACCCCACTTTTGACAGTCGTTTGATGAACAAAAGTTGGAATTTTGAAAATTCTTTGGCAAAAATCACTGAGTAATAGTAGTGCTTCGGCAAACAAAATTGTTGTGAAAATTTAACGCCTCTTTCCTTCCTATGATAACTAATCCTTCGTATAGCAAAGAGCTCGAGCTTTCAACATTACATAATGCAAATCGGTTCAATTTTTGACATTTTGAATGAAAATGCAATGAAAATTCATTCATAGGAGTATAATTCAATAGAAAACTTAAGTGACCAAATTGGAATCACACAAGTTTATTTTTTGGAATGGAAATGGACGCGCGGCCTGATACTGAAAAATGCCTTCAATACGGCATAAATCGAGAACATATCTGCTTTCTGGCTTTTTTGCTCACTACTGATAAACTACAACACAGAGACCATAAAAATTGACGGGCATTTTCTACAAAATAAAGTAAATCAGCCACGTGCACAAGAAATTTAGTTTTTTGATTTCCTTTTTTAGTGTTCCTCTTTAAACAAAGATCGTGAGTGTAAAGGCTTTGGTTAAAAAAATCATTTTTTGAGTGAGAACAAGCAAAAACAAAATACTTACATACACCATTGCGTTCCACTACGATTCTAAGTCACCTAAACAATCTTTGAACTGCTTGCCGTTCCATAGTTTTTTTCTTTGTTTTAGCAAACGTCCTAATTAGTGAGTAACCGGGAATATATAGGGATCGCGATTATCAAGTCAGTGTTCACGGGTGCAAATCTCAGCGGGATAGAATACACTTTCTCCTAGTTATAGTGAATACTCGATCGGTAAACCCGCAAACAACACTTACCGGTTTGGTCGACATCCACTAGGATCCGGCCGCTCTCTATCTCTTTCTTCTCACTAATCATCAATGTATTGCATCTACATCGAATATCCTCTGAGTCATTGATTATGTTAAAGAGGGAAACAAGATTTTTAAGGTATTAATGTGTAAGTCAATATACTTGCGTTTCTGAAATCATATATGTCCAGTGTCCATATTTATTAAACAGATGAAAATAAAAATCTAAAAGCCTCTTCTTATTTGTAGGCATGTCAATTAATTGATTGGAACTATTTTTGTACCGATCTTTTAAAGGCTTGATAAAGATTTGTTGCGAATTTTTGCATATAGATATGCTACACGTTCCATATTATTTCGAGAAGTTTGTTTAAAATTTGAAAAATTGCAGGCATAGATTACTGGGCAAGTGATGCCTATTCGATCTGGCGATAGCTACTTAGGACCTAAGAGTTTCTGTATTCTTTTATATATTATTCTTCAGATCTATCTATGGTAACGCGATCAAATGTTGCATAACGAATACGAATAAAATAGTATTTGTCTAGAAATGGGGAGCAATAGCATTTCCCTTATAGTGGGCATGTCATGACCGAAATTTAGAATTTTTGCAATCCATGGAAGTCAATCAAAGCTCGTTGTGATGTTTTTTTTTCATATTTTCGATTTTAGAAATTCAAGTAAACCAACAGACTAAGCAGCGCAATCATGCTTACATGAGCTTCTTATTCTTAAATACGTGAAATGAACTCCCGGTTAGAATGAATTGAATGTTCACGAATATCAAATATTCACTACTAATTTAAGCGTTTGTCTAATCATGTGAACTGAACAACCTTGCAGAAAATCTTATCGCAGCTTATTACACAGGTCATGGCGATGTACTAAGTAAAGCATATATTTAACGAAATTTAAATAAGTGTTTAAAAAAAATTTTTTTTTTAAATGTAAACAAGCAAGACGACATAATCAAAGTTGTATCTGCACACATGGGAAAAAAAATATGTAAGAAAAAATTAAGTTGAAGAATTTATGAAAATAAGTGATTTTATAATCGCATAAAAAACAATACGTTAAGAAGGAGAAGGGGAAGACAACATTTTTATCTACGTTTGATCGGCCAGATGCGATAACAAGGTGCGCAATAATTTGCAGATGCTTTTCAGCTACCGGTCATTAGCAAAACGTACAAGGCAGCAGGCATCATCGCTGCAACGAAAAAAACCATTACATCGACATACATACATACATACATACATACGTATTTGCAAGCAATTGCCAGCTCGCAGGCTTAAACTAGGCTTACGCATATAAGAGTGGTATTTTCACTCACAAATCTTTTAAATATTTAAATTTTTATTTGTAATTCTTTTTTTTACTCTTATTAATGTTGTTGCTGCTGCTGCTGTTGCTGCTGCTGCTACTGCAACAAACATTACGGCGCAGCTTCTTCTTCTCTCTACAATATCAGAAATGTTTTAATAAATTTAAATAACTCTAGTATGTCTGTTTGTTTGCGATGAATACGACTTTATGTTAATAGCAGTAGAGAAGTTGCTCGCAAACAACAAAAACAAACAGCGACAACAACGACGACAACGGCAGCGACAATATCAACGAAAACGAGCGGAGAATAAATGTGTGGTATACATTTTCTAAATATATATATATATATATATATATATATAGCGATTGACTGTAGAGTTTCTTTTTTTTTTCCTTTTTATTTTATTTAATATATTTGTTGTTGCTGCTGCTGCTGCTGTTGTTGTTGTTGTTGTTGTTGCTATTTTTATATCTCTGCCTATCACATTTCCATGCAAATTAGGCCTCGATAGCGCGCGTGCACCTTACATTTGTATAAGCAGCAAACTTGTGTTATATATTGTATATGTTTGTATAAATGTGCTTTCATACTTTTGCTCGTGTTTAGTTTGTTACAAAACTGTGCACTAAGCACAGAAGATCACAAGCAATAGTATATAGAAATAGTAATAGTAATAGTAATATAGTAGAAGTTAGCAGTAGAGCGACATAATAATAAGGAAGGCCTGGAGCTTAAACAAGTTATTGTAAATAAACATATAAACACATAAACACAAATAAATCCAAAGCATACAGAAGCAAGCATGAACGCAACTGCGTACAATTGTGATGACTAGCAAGCATGAAGAAATAACAGGCATAACAAGAGTCTCAAAGTCTACATGTTTAGTTGTAACACTACGGAATATATACAACATAAACAACACACAAACATATGTTATGCGTATGAATGTAAATGTATAAATATACATACGCACGTATATGAAGGTGTATAAATTTAATTTTTGTTTGTAGTAATTTATTTATATATATATATATATAAAGTGAGCTCGTTTGTTGTTCATAGAAATATTTTTGTTGCTTAGCATTCACTTTAATCAAATGTTCAATGTTGCGCGTTTGCAAAGCTTTACGCATTTACATATACGCAAGCAATTACACACCTAAGCACAAATTTACATATATGCTTTAATAACATTAATATATACACACACGTACTGTGGTGATTGCTGTTAGATAATTATTCATAATCGCTTCAAATAAGCAATCAAGTGGCCAACCAACCAAATACCACCACCTGTTCTTAAAAGGTTGTTATCCTTCAAAAAGGCTTTTTCTTTTTTTTTTTTTTGTTTGATACTGTTGTCTTCATCTTATCTCGTGCTTCTTTTGCAATTTGTTGTTGTTATTAATATTATTGCTGTTTTGTTTTCAAATGCACCAACAAACTTAATCATAACAGTAATTTCCAGTTTTCAACCACATGCCAGACTTTATTATATTCTTACGTTGTACGTTATACAGCTAATATATATACATATATAGATACATGTTGAAAACTTGTCTTCTCATATTTGATGAACTTTGAAGGCAAAATTTACGAAAAGCTAAAACAAAAAATCATTCTTGCATATGCCTGTAATTCTTGTCTATTTATAAGACTATTGATATATGCGTTTGTGCACATT